TCTGTCCTGCATAGTAGCACATTTCTATCTAGCGGTCTGGCAAACTCCACCAGTATGGGTCTAGCTGGTGCCTGTGTTGCTTCCTGGGGTGGTGTTTTACACCTCCCGACCCAGTGTACTCACATAATTGCCAAGTTTGGCGTAGCTCCAGCTAACCTGAGTATGTCATGGATTCTACGCCTGTCCATTTCCCTACGGGCCTTTGCTTCTCTTGTATTCGGCTCCTCATTGTTAAGTATAAGGAGGTTTCTACGAAGTTCAACTTTAGGGATATTTACTGCAAGGAGGGTACTCACTTGCTTCTTCAGCTCCTGGAGCTCTTCTTCTAACCTATCTCCCTTCCCATGTGAGACTATATTTCTACCCGCTCCAGGTTTGGACCCTCGATTTGGCTTGGGCCGTTTTACACCCTGACGTACCTTGGGGTTGACTACAGGTAGCGGCTTTTGTAACGGTGTGGATACCACTGCTACCTTTCAAGTCTTCGGCAAAACTGTTTGCCAAAAACTCCCTTGAAGCTAACCGGAGTTGACGGCCTGCCGGTAAGTCTTCTTACGAGTCTCAATATGCGCGCAACCTCCTAGTGTCTCGTTGCCCGAAATAGACAAAAACACTCGTGGGAGTCGTAGACGTTTATTGGCGAATCGTGGTACTAGATAGTACCGAAACGTGCCGAGGTGACGCTAAACAATGCAAGCAATAAATGCAGTAGCAGAGCGATAGCGTGTCATACGTGTCGCGTGGGTTTGAACAGGACCCAGCTTATATATACACCTGAGCGGAAAACCGTGCTCGGTAAAACAAACAGAAGTAAAACAAAGAAATATCACAGTTTGAGTTAGAGTTGATTGTGAATAAAATATGAACGGAAAACGTCCTCTTGGATTACTCCTTTTCTTCGTACAATCATGGTCACTAAACTCTCCCTGCGGTTTCCTCTTTTCTTGACTTGAAACGACCTGAGCGCAAGTGCGCAAGGTTCCTTTGGATGGTTACGACGTTTTTGGGCTCTCGAGACGCTCACTGCTCGGTTCGCCTCTGGCCTTTGATTTCCGCGTCGCAAACGCAAACCTTGCCGCGTCCTTATACTGCCCACAGATCAACTCTACCCAGCTATTTGCTCAGAAGAATGCATAGTGGTCTTTGCTAATACCTGAACAACAAGAATTTGCCCACCTTTCGCAGGTTTTGCATTCGATTCCCTTGACCATTTTCTTGCCGCAACTATCCTTCAAACATGGATAGGACACGCGCGTCATTTTTAGTACAGGTGTTCAAAAAATGCAAAACAGTAATATGGAAAACGAAAGGTGAGTGCGACACGTAAAAGCGTTACACAAGTCGAAATTAACCAAACCAAATGGCTATGCACAGAGTTTTGGTCCGCGCTGTTTGGTGCTCTTTGACAGAGCACTATAAATAACAACGATCGGAAAACTCGGAGGAATGAAGTGTAAAACGCAGTAAAAAGTGAATTTCTGGCAATCTCACTTTACTTTTACGATCGGCATAAAAAGCGAATCAGAGCACGTCAAAAATTTCAACCGCGCGTCAACGTACCGCAGTCAAAATCCCATTTGTTATGTTCGAACTTTTAAGAATGCCTTTTGTTTACGTAACGCAGCACAAAAATTTCAACGTTTTATGGATCA